ACAAAGTCCGCACATAGGTTAGTACATCTTCTTTCATTCCTTTCCATTCAAATCGTTCACGCACATCGACATACGTCTTCTTAAAACCAAAGTGACCTTCCGCATCATGGCATTCCCCAATGATCAAACTCTTGATTGATTCTAGGTGAGGAACACACAATCTTTCTTCGGTTTTATCCAACGAGAAGAGTAATCCATCTGTCATTCGATATTCTGGAAACAACTCAGGGTTCGTTCGTAGAGTCTCAATGATAGGACTCCAGATAGGATCATTCCCATAACCCTGGCGGATCTGTTCCTTTAGTCCGTTTCCAATATCGAGATAAGAGACAATAGTTCCAAAGAAATTTGCATGCCTGGACAAAGCATCCGCAACCACGTTAGATTTACCTTTGATGGTTTTCACCTCAAAGTCAAATGTGTCAAGGAATGCGGACCACCTTACCAACTTGTTGGAGAGCTTCGGGTGAGTCTTGATCCACTTTAAGGTAGAGTGGTTAGAGTAGACAGTGAAATGCCTCCCTAACAAGTAGTGCTTCCAGGTATCTAGTGCAGCAACTAAGGCATACAATTCCCTTTCATATGTGGAGTTGTCCACTTTCTCTGACGGAAGTCTCCTGGACATAAACTCAACAGGTCTACACCCCTTATCGTCGTCTTGTTGTAGCACGGCTCCATTCCCATACTGACTTGCGTCAGTAGTGACAATGAAAGGAAGAGAAGGGTCAACAATCTTTAGAACAAGATAGTGAGTCAAAACATGCTTTAATTTGTTAAACGATGACTCACAGTCTTTATCCCACAACCAAGGTTTTTCTTTCTTCGACACTCTTCTCATAGGAGCAGCTATTAGAGAGAAGTTTTTGATGAACTTTCTATAGTAGCTAGCAAGCCTAGGAAAGATCTTAGTTCAATTATAGTCTTAGGTTGTGGCCAATCTCTGATTGTTGTAATCTTCTTTTCTTCAGGCCTTAGTCTTTCCTCGTTCACTATATGCCCTAAGTACAAGACTTCAGGCTTAGCAAAGTCAAACTTCTTCGGATTCAGTTTAAAGTTGCCCTCGTGCAACTTCTGCAAGACCATTCGTAGGTGTTTCTCGTGATCTTTCAGTGTCTTGCTGTACACTATAATATCGTCAAGATAGACTACTAGGAATTGATCGAGCCATTGTCTAAACAACTCATTCATGGTCCTTTGGAAGGTCGCAGGTGCGTTGGTCAATCCGAATGGCATAACCACGAACTCATAGTGACCATACCTGGTTCGGAATGTCGTCTTGTGTTGATCCTCAGGAGCCACTTCTATCTGGTGGTACCCTGACTTGAGATCAATCTTGATAAAGTATCTACACCCCTGCAACTGATCCAATAGATCGTCAATGCGTTGAAAAGGTTCTGCGTTTTTAACAGTGACGGAATTCGGCCCGCGATAGTCAATACATAAATGAACTTCACCTTCCTTTTTGGGTAGGAATAAGACAGGCGCACCATAAGGAGATGAATTAGGGCGAATCCATACATGGGAGACATTCGGTAGATGGGACCCTTGGGAATCTTGCTTCTGGGAATGATCTCGATCGTGTGCTTAATAGCACGCTCAATGATCCTCGTAGGCTCAATTTGCAAGTTCATATACTCGTCAAAAATTTTATCGATAGAAGGTGGATAGGATGTGGAACACTCAGCAACTCGCTTGACAAGCACCATCATCACCTCCTGATCCAAGTTCTTCTTTACTACCATAGAACGAAAAGTTGGGTAACTCATACAATAGAAAGGCAGAGTAGAGTCAGAGCCAGACCTATGATATAACTTGACTGCTCGAAGTTCAAACTTCTCGTCCTTGAGTTTGACAATTTTATCCTTGAACTTAACTTCTGGGTCGGCTTCCTCATGGCAATCCATACCCAAAATTAAGTCAAAGGGTAAATTCTTCTCAATTAGGAAGGATACTTCATGTAAAAAAAAAAATCCCTTCCTTAGTCTTGAAATAACAGTTGACACGATCGATGTATTGAGAGACAGTGATTGTGCTCTTGTCAGCCAGTGTAGACGTGATAGATCTAGGTAAATCCTTTACCTTCATTCCCAGATACAACTTACGAATTGTTTTTTCTGAGATATAGAACCGCACCGATCCCGGATCTAACAAGGCACATACTCGCGTGTGCGCAATCTCAACATCCGCGATCATCAACTCACCCTTAGACTTAGCTTTCTTAGCCCGCGAACTTCGAAGTGCTATCAGTTCATTGCCAAGTTCGTCAAGGGAATCGTCCAGTGAGAAAGAGCAAAGAACAGTGTCAGGGTGCTCTGGACGATGGGCCGAAGAAGAGCCATCCTCTGCCTTGAGAGTCGAAGGGGTAGAAGGGGTTATAGGCGCCTTACCTTTGTCTTCGTCTAATCCCTTCAACTTGGTAGGAGCAGATGCTACTCCTACTGGCTGCTCGCTTTTAGGTTACGAATAAGTGGGCACCAGGCTATCACGTGCCCCACGGTGCCACACTTGAGGCACTGGGATTGCCCATCTTGGACTGCCATTCCTCTCGAGTCATGTTCATCCTTTCCCACGGCCTCCCGACCGCTATACCGGGATGCTTGGGGAACGGGCGTGGCCTCCTCTTCTTTTTCCATTGACTCTGGCCTCCCTTGTTGGCCATGACAACAGTGACGTCACCCTTACTGGACTCACTGCTGCATATACCACCTCCTCCATAGGAGTCCTCGAGTCGTAACTTTTCCACGGTATCGTCATCGAAAACAACTAGCATATGATCCTGGCGTTTTTGCCGTCAGAGGACCCGTTTCCCATACCCACCAAATGGTCCCGATTTGACTACCGAAGCATACGACCCTTTTACTTGAGCGGTCATCTGCTCTCTCTGGAGAGCGAGATCGCGGAACTGTCGATAGTTATACTTACCAGACTTAGCTTCCGCCACAAGTTGTCCACGGATAGGCTCGGGAAGTGCACGTGAGTAGATGTAGAGAACCTGGTTGTCTTGTAAGTTCAGTCCCAGTACCTGCAACAAACGATCCACTTCACGAGACAATGCGTTAACCAAAGTCCATCGTTTTTGGCCGATGGTGGTGAGTTCATCGAAAGCCTTATCGGTCGTCGTCTTGTCAAGAAATCTCTCCTTGATCTTTTGGAGAAATTGCTTGAGGTTAAGGGTCTTAGCCCAGTCGCCAATATCTTCGAAGCCAACGGCATTGGCTTCGGCCAGCACCCATTCCTTAGCAACTCCTCCCAGGCAAGACCTGGAGAATGCGACCTGACTCTCAAGATCAACGGGTGCGGTGTTGCAGTAATGCAGTAAACCGCGTTCAGCAGCGGCCTGGGCGTTGTAACCCAAGCCCAGGCCCAGCGAGCAGTGCGACCACGCGCTGCCCGACCTCAGGCCGCTGCGGGTGCCGTGTGACCCCGCACAACAAGAAATTCAAAGGTCGAAGTCAACTATAGGTCCAGGTACCTCGCCCAGGCCCTTGGTCGTGTGCATTGACTTGTATGTGTACAGGTACCCAGTCAGAACAGTGGACCAAGGAGGATACAGT